ATATGCTCACATTCGGACTGTTAATCGCTTTAATGTTGTTTAGGGTGGTTGTTATTACTTCATAAAAGGCCCTCAATAGTTCAACGTTAGTTACTTAAAACGACTGGATTACCATAATGAAAATTTGATTATTGCGACCTACAATCCTTTTCATAAATCTGGGCTGTTTTGCGCAAACAACTCATTCCGTTAGCACTCGCAAATTATCAAAGTGAAACGGGATTAGATTCCTCAAAAGTTATTAAACGCGACATACATTTTGTACTATCTCGTGGAAATGAAAACAGTAATTATTTAGAGCATTTCTTTGTTTAATTTGAATCAACACGAAATATTTGCGTGATTAGGTTTGCACGCTCCCATTTCCCACGCTTCATTGTGTTTCGTAATTTACAATCTTGGGGTTTTGATGTGCTATTCACTTTATTTCGGAAATGCTCTGTCTCACCTTCATTTCGCAGACCTATTATACATTTATCAGCTAAAAGGAAAATACTTCCACTGAAAAGCGTCGGAGGAGGAGCGACGACGCTTTCACACAAAGATTGTACGGAAAAAAAGCGCGTCGGCCTTATAAATTTACGAAATGCATTAACCATTGGTTTACGTGTATGCCATATATCTTCCGCGACTTTTGCACGAGTGACAATTTCTCAATGAGATTAATGGTCCCTGTACACAGGATGTGTGTTCAGTCCAACACAACACAACAGCATCAACCGATTATAATCATTAAGCCAAAAAAATTTCGCGAAAGGGAAACTGATAAAAGTTCGAGAGTTTCTTAAAAAGCACGCGATTGGACGTCAATGTTCACTCAGGCAAACTAAACGTACGGTATTGGGGAACTCAAAGGGATCAAGATTGAAATTTTCAGTTATTTGAGGACGCTTACGGGGCCATATCGAAAAACGAAATAGGGTTATATTATATCTACCTACCTTCTTCAATTGCCCTAAGGAAAACTACAACACGATACGGTTTTCTAATGATTTCTGCTTGAGATAATACGTACTTATCCCATAATTTCCTAAAGCGGATGCCGTCACCGAGAATAAGCTGGCGTTCTGATTGGCAGCTAAATGTTACAATCCAATAAAGTGCCCATTTAATTTCATTGTACGTCGACTAATTTGGATTATTTTGTTTTTCGAGTGGCCGTAATTTTAAATTACTAATAGCATTCTGTTGATGTTTTAGATCATTCCGAAGACTCGCCACTTTTTTTCCATACATTACGCTGTACTGTTTTAGCAACGCATTGTTTTTATTACGGTTTTCAGTATTTTATTTACGGATTCTTGGAAAGGGATTACGGTTTAATAAATATTTCACAGAACTGCGCTTTTAAAATTGTAACAGACGGAAATCGAACGAAAACTAATTTAGGAGTAGATACTGAAAGAGAAGAATTTATAAAATCAATGATACATTGTGAACTATTGGCAACTCTCCTCGCAGACCCAGATTGAGTTGGCTGCAGGGTAGAACAACCTCCTCTAGATTCCCTGACGTGTACCAGGGATGACCAAGCACGCAGCAGTAGTGATTTATTTGCCCAGTTTATGCCAACATTATTTCATTCATGAAATGTTAGTTAAAATGATTGATAAATACGCGCTTTATCTATACATGTAATGTATTAATTGTTAGCACTGATCACATTGAGCATACACCTTGAACAAATAAATAAACTAAACACCACAACCCACCAGCACCACCGCACAAGCCGCAAAGGCACCAATTAGTTGGTACGGTTGTGGAGCCCCAGGGGTAATCCGCAACACCAACTTGGAGCCCACATCACGCAGCCGGCCGCTACTCAAGATCGCTGTCGGTTCCAACAGGAACGAAGCAGATCCTCGCAGGTACCACGTTGAACCGGGTGCACCACCAACAAGGATCCTCATTCGTTCCCCTGGCCATTAACTTAATCCTAGCGGACGGATAAAATCGCACAGTTCTTGGAAGAACCAGCGGAAGAATTTTTTCCATCAAAACGTCGTCAGTGAAGATGTAGCATCCCGATGAGTGGAGCAGTTCGCACTGAAAACGGCCGCTGCCCAGGCCTGCGCCCAAACACTGATCAATGAAGTGTTGGAGTACCACGAAGGATAACAAGAACGGTACCCAGTTTGTGAGTTTCATTATACTTACAACATGTAGCATTTTGCCTCGACATCAGGCAAGTTCTCACCCCCGCAAATCCAGTCGAACGTAAAAATCGTGATTTTAAACAAAGACTTGCAACCCTTGTCGGAATGGCCAGAGATGTTGCTTGCCATCCTCCATCAAGAGCCAATCCACGGGATACTCACCTTCGCCCTCAGAACAACAGATGACGCAACCCGGGACCAACGCGCCATTATACTCAGCGACAACTTCCTCCTATACAGATAACTTCTCGTGTGTTATTGCTCACCGAGAGCTTAAGGAAGACACAGGAGACTCAAACAGACAGAGCGACGAAGAACGCAGATCAGGGACCTCAGACGCCCTCACGTTTGCCCCAAGTTTCTTATACTTTCCTCAAAAAGTATAAACTTTTTACCAGTAAAGCGAATATCTAAATAAATTCTGTGTATAAGCATTGATTAAGTATAGAATCAATGGTATAAGTACCACGGAAACCGAGTCCTTAATTCCTTATTGAAAGGTGGACTGTCACTGTAATCGACTGTGAAATAAACGTATACGGCCAACCTTGTTTTCCTTTCATAGGATTCAAAAATATGTGGAGGTTGCGAATGGCAGTGTATTTATTTAAAAGGGAATACAATGAAAATGGAACACACAATTTTCCAAAACTCCCTCCTTAAAATCCTGTAAACTGCTGAAGCTGCGTTTAAAGAAACACACAAATTCAGTTTTAGAGAGAAAAAAAGAATGCGAGCATCATGCATCATTATCAAATATCCACCATTTATTTTAAAACCGGCAGTTTAAACGATATCAATTTTGAGCGTATGGTAACTAATCTGCCAGGTAAGAACGTTCGTGACCTTCCGCTCTTATCGTCCGAATACGGCTTATATCCGAATTAATTATTAGTCGGTGTCGTTTGTGAAGTGGTGTAGTGTCGGCGATGTTTTCTTCTTCTCTGATAAAAAATACAGGTATGTAATGTAATTTTGCATGAAATTTGTAGGTGGTATGACTTCAAATTGTAAATGTTCATTACTGAAAAGGTTTTCAAGTTAAAGGCCTTCTAAAGTGGGCGTATGCACATTTTGGTAAGAAATTTTACAGCGTTACAACGCATTCTTTGACACGTCTTCCATTATTTTAAACCAGGCCAGTTCCTAATCAAAAGCACATGTGGTCAACAATTATTTTTGCCAGTAGTGTCCCCAAATTCATTTTAAAATGCTATCATTTTTCGAGTTGGTTTGATTTCGAGAACCTACTTCAATTTGGTAAATTCGCTAATTTCATATTGTTCAAATTTTTATATAAAACTGCGCTTGTCGTACACATGCGGCCGTAACGCGGCACACGTGCGTCGGTGTTATCGCAGTTGGCATTTGATTAATCATAAGAACGCCTGATTTCTGATGAATCATTCCATTACTTTCTTTAGCTTGAACACCAATATTACCGTTATTACCTGATTAGCTGATTGTTATAGGTATCGCTGTCGTTTTGTACCTCATGCAATAATAATGATAATATTAGGCAATGTCTTAATTGTTAAAACTCAGCTATAGTTTGGCTAATTTTACACAATTTTCCATTTGAATTGGTCCATTGTACCATACCACCAACCAAGTGTTTTCTTCACAAAATGTACCTATTCTGAAGCAGGATTTCATAATGATTTTATTTTTTTGTCATATGAAAGAGCTGCTTTCATCAAGGGTGATATACAAAAATTACTCAATTTCCTAGAAAAGAAGTTTTTTGTTATTTAACCCATATTTTAGCTCTAAATTGTTCCCTGAGTGCAATGTGGTGTGAAACAAATAAGTATGTAAAGTAAATTCAAGAAGCTGGCACCGTAAGCCAAAACCTTACCATGCACAGAGTAATTTTTTATTTATACTTTAGCATAAAAGTTGATTGCATAAAAATGTCGCTTCGTACAGGGGTGTGTAAATACCTATAAACTTACCTATTTGCGATTATTACCTTTCATTCCCTTATGTGTGGTGGCTTCTGTCTTGGACGATACATGGAATTATATAATTCAAAAACTTATTCAATACTCTAACAATATCTTCACATATTCAAGCATTTATTTGGGCATTCACTGTTTTGTTGAAACATCCTGTATCTCGTGCGTGGTCATTAAATGCTCATTGCTTAATATACTATTAAGAAGCACTCACTCACTGTATGAGCAATGTACAGGTTGAATACAGCAGATCATTTCAAAGTTACCAAAAAAGTTCAAAACTTTGAACTCTTAAAGGGTTAAATAGCAAGTTTGTCTAGTCCTAGTCAAATGGGTGTACTTTCTGGTGTTACATATGGGGCCATTTTTTTTTCTTCGTATGAATCTCTGTTATCTTAACGGCTACGATGTAGGTTGAATTGTGATAAAAGAGCTAAAGATAAAACCAAGTTTTAAAATGAGAAGCACTTTTGGGTCAACTTTATTTGTGAGGTAATTAAAAATAGCAACCATAATCACATTCCCGATTGGTATAAACCCTGCTTTTTATAGGTCGATCGGACAACTTAATTTTTCATTTCATAAGATTCAAAAATATGTGAAGATTTCGAATGGCAGGGTTTTTAAAAAGGAGTACAATGAAAATTGAACACACAATTTTCCACAACTCCCTCTTTAGACCCTGTCAAATACTGACGCTGCGTTTAAAGAAATACAAAAATTCAGTTTTAGAGAAAAAAAATGCATTTACACTTAGCGAGCATCATTATCAAAATCCACCATTTATATTAAAAGCGACAATTTAAATGATATCAATTTTGAGCGTATGGTAACTAATCTGCCAGGTAAAAGAACGTTCGTGACCTTCCGCTCTTATCGTCCGAATACGGCTTATATCCGAATTCCGAATTAATTATTAGTCGGTGTCGTTTGTGAAGTGATGTAGTGTTGTGGATGTTTTCTTCTTCTCTGATAAAAAATACAGGTAAATTTTCAATGTAATTTTGCATGAAATTAATGGCTTCAAATGGTAAATATTCATTACTGAAACGGTGGTTTTCAAAATTATACTTAAAGGCCTTCGAAATTGTGCTCGTACGTATGCACATTTTGGTAAGAAAATTTACAGCGTTATAACGCATTCTTTGACACGTGTTCCATTATTTTAAACAAGGCCAGTTCCTAATCAAAAGCGCATCTGGTCAACAATTTTTTTGCCAGTAGTGTCCCCAAATTCATTTTAAAATGCTATCATTTTTCGAGTATGTTTGATTTCGAGAACCCACTTCAATTTGCCAAGATGGAAGTACCTTCGCTAATTTCATTTTGTCCAAATTGTGATATAAATCTGCGCTTGTCGTACCGATGCGGCCGTAACGCGGCACACGTGCGTCGGTGTTATCGCAGTTGGCATTTGATTAATCATAAGAACGCGTGATTTCTGATGAATCATCCATTACTTTCTTAAACTTAAACAGCAATATTACCTACCGTTTTTACCTGATTATCTGATTGTTGTGGGTATCGCTGTCGTTTTGTGCCCCGTGCAATATTAATGATAACATTAGGCAATGCCTTAATTGTTAAAACTCAGCTATAGTTTGGCTAATTCTACACAATTTTCCATTTGAATGGTCCATTGTGCCGAACCGCCAATCAAATGTTTTCTTCTAGGTTTTCTTCATAGAGCCATGACGTTACAAATAACCAATTAATTTCAATTGTTTTTCTGAAAAACTCTCATCATGAGAGGAATTTCGTTACATAAAAAACGTCACCTATTTAGAGTGACGATTGCTTTGAATGTCATAAAAGATGCCGCTCCGAGCTTCTGACCTAATTTTTGCAGTAGACAGGGTTGGTTTATTTGTCGTACACCGCACTGGGATTGAACATTCTTTGAGTACATTGCCACACCGTCTGCTAAATAGGAATAAAATGTACCTATTCTGAACCAGAATTTCATAATGATTCTATTTTTTGTCAGATGAAAGAGCTGCTTTCATCAAGGGTGGTATACAAAAATTACTCAATTTCTTAGAAAAGACGCGATTTAACCGATATTTTAGCTCTAAATTGTTCCCCGAGTGCAATGCGGTGTAAAACAAATAGGTATGTAAAGTAAATTCAAGAAAGTGGCACCGTAAGCCAAAACCTTACCATGCACAGAGTAATTTTTAATTTATACTTTAGCATAAAAGTTAATTACATAAAAATGTCGCCTCGTACAGGGGTGAGCAAATATCTAAAAGGTTATTTGCAATTATTACCTTTCATTCCCTTATGTGTTGTGGCTTCTGTCTTCGACGATACATGGAATTGTATAATTTGAAAACTTATTCAATACTCTAATAAGATCTTTACATATAAGCACTTATTTGAGAATTCCCTCTTTTGTTGAAACATCCTGTATCTCGTGCATGGTAAGGGTGCACAAAAGATTGTCATATATAAAGACACGGTCGATCTCAAAATCTATAAATCACGCTTCTAGTTCCCTATACATCGACTACTAAAAATACCCTTCGCTATCTCTTTTACTTTTAAGGCGTGAACGAAGAAGGTGTAGGTAAATCGTGTGAGGTCCTAACCTGACTGTGGTCACTAATTCAGCGGCGAATTTACAAATTTTCGCACTAGGCTGTTCCATTTTTGCCGCCCCTACTGATTGACTGAAATTCGGTACCCTAGTTCGAAATATTAATTACATTTATTCTAACAATGAAATTGCAACTTTGATTTGTGTTCTAACGTCTTCATTAAAACAGCGTTTTCCCCTTATTCGCGTGATTATTGTGAACTAGGCCGTAGAGTGCTCCGTGGGAGAAATTATGACTTCCATTGGGGTTTTGGTGTCACAAGCTGAAATTCACAAAAAATGAAAGGTCATCATATACTGATTCTAAATGTCAAGGCTGTCCAAAATCGGTCCATGCATTAGGGCACAAAACGCGAAAAACGAGTAAAGCACATGTACGGAAAGAAGAAAACATTTCGAATTTTTTCGTATATGTATAAATCAAAATGTTCTTTGTACAGTGAAAGTAATAAGAAATTATCAAACGTTTCGAATTACATTGGGTGTTACAGAAGAATTAAACTTTAAACGCGATTATCTCAGTTCGATATCCCTAAAAATTTGACAAATTTTGAGCAACTTTTGCGTTTACATCGCATTATTTAATAAACGGAAGCCTAAATCAAAAAGTTTTACTCTTAAAAAAAGTTTCGCTCATCGTTTATCTTTAGATTGCACAATTATAATTTTATCTGCAATAGTAACCAAAATATGTAATTGAAAGTAAAACAACGAACTTCTTACGAATCTGTACCTAAAAAAAATGAGGAGCCATACCCCAACACACCTCCCTTACTAACGTACGGGTGGTAAAAATCAAGACTACGTCACATGTCACATCATTTTTGAAACGTGTGACCAGCTATAAACTTTTTTACCAGTAAAGCGGAAACAGAGGACCTAGTCCCTTATTCAAAGGTGGAGTGTTACAGTGTAATCGACTGTGCAATAAGCGATCGGGCAACTTAATTTTTCATTTTATAAGATTCAAAACTATGTGGAGATTGCGAACGGCAGGATATTTAAAAAGGAGTACAATGAAAATGGAACACACAATTTCCCACAACTCCTTCCTTTACATCCTGTAAAATACTGAAGCTGCGTTTAAAGAAACACAAACATTCAGTTTTAGAGAAAAAAAAGCGACAATTTAATGATATCAATTTTGAGCGTATGGTAACTAATCTGCCAGGTAAGAACGTTCGTGACCTTCCGCTCTTATCGTCCGAATACGGCTTGTATCCGAATTCCGAATTAATTATTAGTCGGTGTCGTTTGTGAAGTGTTGTCGATGTTTTCTTCTCCTCTGATAAAAAATATACAGGCAAATTTTCAATGTAATTTTGCATAAGTGGTGTGGCTTCAAATGGTAAATATTCATTACTGAAAAGGTTTTCAAAATTATACTTAAAGGCCTTCCAAATTGTGTTCGTACGTATGCACATTTTGGTAAAAAAAATTTACGGCGTTGCAACGCATTCTTTGACACATGTTCCATTATTTTAAACAGGGCCAGTTCCTGATCAAAAGCGCATCTGGTTAACAATTATTTTTGCCAGTAGTGTCCCCAAATTCATTTTAAAATGCTATCATTTTTCGAGTTGGTTTGATTTCGAGAACCTACTTCAATTTGCCAAGATGGAAGTACTTTCGCTAATTTCATTTTGTCCAAATTGTGATACAAAACTGCGCTTGTCGTACAGATGCGGCCGTAACGCGGCACACGTGCGTCGGTGTTATCGCAGTTGGCATTTGATTAATCATAAGAACGCGTGATTTCTGATGAATCATTCATTACTTTCTTAAGCTTAAACACCAATGTTACTGTTATTACCTGATTAGCTGATTATACAAAAACTTCCGTAAAAAAAAATGGGGAATCATTTTTTATCCCAACACAATGACTCCCTTACTAACGTGCGGGTGGTAAAAATCATGAATATTTCTACGTCACATCATTTCTGAAACGTGTGACAATCTATAAACTTTTTTCCCAGTAAAGCCAACATCTAAATAAAAGTATGTGTTAGAATTACGGAAACAGTGGGCCTAATCCCTTATTCAAAGGTGGAGTGTTACTGTAATCGACTGTGCAATAAGCAATCGGACAACTTAATTTTTCATTTCATAAGATTCAAAAATATGTGGAGATTGCGAACGGCGGGATATTTAAAAAGGAGTACAATGAAAATGGAACACACAATTTCCCACAACTCCCTCCTTTACACCCTGTAAAATACTGAAGCTGCGTTTAAAGAAACACAAAAATTCAGTTTTAGAGAAAAAATGCATTTACACTTAGCGAGCATCATTATCAAATATCCACTTTTATTTTAAAAGCGACAATTTAAGTGATATCAATTTTGAGCGTATGGTAACTAATCTGCCAGGTAAGAACGTTCGTGACCTTCCGCTCTTATCGTCCGAATACGGCTTATATCCGAATTCCGAATTAATTATTAGTCGGTGTCGTTTGTGAAGTGGTGTAGTGCTAGTGACATCGATATTTTCTTCTTCTCTGATGAATAATATAGGTAAATTTTCATTGTAATTTTGCATGAAATTATGTAGGTGGTATGACTTCAAATGGTAAATATTCATTACAAAAAAGGTTTTCAAAATTATGCTTAAAGGCCTTCGAAATTGTGCTCGTACGTATGCACATTTTGGTAGGAAAATTTACAGCGTTACAACGCATTCTTTGACACGTGTTCCATTATTTTAAACAAAGCCAGTTCCTAATCAAAAGCGCATCTGGTCAACAATTTTTTTTGCCAGTAGAGTCCCCAAATTCATTTTAAAATGCTATCATTTTTCGAGGTGGTTTGATTTCGAGAACTTCAATTTGGTAAAACGGAAGTACGTTCGCTAATTTCATATTGTTCAAATTTTGATATAAAACTGCGCTTGTCGTACAGATGCGGCCGTAACGCGGCACACGTGCGACGTGCGTAGGTGTTATCGCAGTTGGCATTTGATTAATCATAAGAACGCGTGATTTCTGATGAATCATTCTTTATTTTCTTAAGCTTAAACACCAATATTACCGTTATTACCTGATTAGCTGATACGCTATCGCTGTCGTTTTGTGCCGCATGCAATATTAATGACTATTCAATTCATCTAACATTTGTCACATTTCAACCAGTGAAATGTCTCGATTTCAAATTGCTGCGCCAATGGGAACGAATTATAGTGATAATTGCACGTGTGGTATTTCAGCGATAATTTCACGTGTGGTATTTCAGCGACAATTCAACTCATGTATAAAAAATCGCATAAGCCGCAGTGCAATTGTCACTTTGACAGCGGCAAAAGTTACCTGCAACTTTTCCAGCGACAAATGCACTAGTGGTTTTTCCACTTATTCATTTTCGCACCAATTATCGCATTATCCTTTCCCATATGACTAGTTTGACGTCTGTCAATAATTGACTAGTTTGGTGAATTTCTTGTTCGTTAATTTGTCCTGCCGAATTACACTCGAGGTTTGCATTTAAACCGAGTAAATTTGGGTTGCTGCAATTCAAATCTGTTTCCTTTTAGCAATTGAACTCGAAAAACTGTCAACCTAAAAATGCTCCACCTTCGGTGTCGCATTTTTATTAGTTGACAGTTTTTCTCGTCTAATTGCTAGGCAACAAATTTTCATTACCTTAACAACCCAAATTTACTCGGTAAAATACAAACCTCTTGTGCAATTATAAGTGACAATTCAATGCGATTATTCAATGACATTTGTCAAACTTCCACCAGTGAAAAGACGCGAAATTTTGCCGTATTAACCGGAACATTCTTCTTAGTTTGTTAATCAATTTCGACAACCGACTTATCACCACATCTTTTAATTTAATCACTCATAACGAATTAGCTTGGACCACAAAAGTTCGAATAGAATCAATAGCAAAATGAAAAGCAACTTCCATAATTTATTTTGACGTTTATTGTTGTCATGGAAATACATTCGCGTGGGTAATTATGCTTAATTTTTCTTTTGATTCATTGAATAGTCCTCCGAATACCATTCGTAGTCGAAGTATTTGTAGATTATTTTTGAGCTGCTGCTCCACTCATGCTAGTTACGCTTTTTAATACCACTAGCATTCGTGACAGCACCTCAAAAATATTCGACAATACTTCGACTACTTATGGTATTATATATGATAATATTAGGCAATGCATTAATTGTTAAAATTCGGCTATAGTTTGGCTAATTCTACACAATTTTCCATTTGAATTGGTCCATTGTGCCATACCGCCAACCAAGTGTTTTCTTCATTCATAGAGCCATGACGTTACAAAGAACCAATTAATTTTAATTGCTTTTCTGAAAAACTCCCATCATGAGAGGAATTTTGTTACATAAAAAACGTCACCTGTTTAGAGTGGCCGTTGCTTTGAATGTCATAAAAGATGCAGCTCCCAGCTTCTGATCTAATTTTTGCAGTAGACGGTTGGTTTATTTGTCGTACACCGCACTGGGATTGAGCATTCTTTGGCTACACGGCCACACCGTCTGCTAAATAGGAACAAAATGTACCTATTCTGAAGCAGGATTTTACAATGATTCTATTTTTTTGTCACATGAAAGAGCTACTTTCATCAAGGGTGATATACAAAAATTATTCAATTTCCTAGAGAAGACGATTTTTCTTATTTAACCGATATTTGAGCTCTCGTTTGAGCTCTAAATTGTTCCCTGAGTGCAATGTGGTGTAAAACAAATAAGTATGTAAAGTAAATTCGAGAAAGTGGGACCGTAAGCCAAAATCTTACCCGCCAGAGTAATTTTTTATTTGTACTTTAGCATAAAAGTTGATTGCATAAAAATGTCGCTTCGTACAGGGGTGTGCAAATATCTATAAACTTATTTGCAATTATTACCTTTCATTCCCTTATGTGTGGTGGTTTCTGTCTTCGGATATACATGGAATTGTATAATTTGAAGGCTTATTCAATACTTTTAAGAAGATCTTTACATATTCAAACATTTATTTTATTCAAAAATACTAAACCGATTGAAACGAAACGCGGTGTATTCTTGATATGTGCTCATATACAGGGTGGTGACTTACGAAACGCATCATAGGTATTTCAATGTAAAATTCATAACATAACCAACTTATTTTAGAGCAAAACTGTGTTAAGGTTTTTTGTAGAAAAAAATTTTTTACGCCAATCAACCGTATTAGTTTTCAATTTTTTTCTTATAAAGACGGAAAATTGGAAAAATAAAACCATAAAACCCGCATTTTTTTCAATAATCTGTGATGCCATGGAATTTTCTAAACCAAAAGATATCCAGTTATCAATTAGCAGCAGTTCGAAATGGATTTTATGATCGACTTGGTTACTGTATTGCAGTTAATGGTGACTTTTTCGAACATTTATTGTAATTTGTTATATTAGGAAACCGTTTTTAGTAATTTGGTCTTACTTTAAATGTTGAATTCGCTGTTCTAAATATTTACTTTTTGATAGAATTTGATTTATTTTATAGCAGACATTCCATGACATGACGGATATTGGCGTAGTTTTTGTATTATAAAATTCCATGCAATCACAGATTATTGAAAAAGATGCAGGTTTTATTTTTCCAATTTTCCGCCTTTATTATGCAAATAATTGAAAACTAATACGGTTGATTGACGTAAAAAATTTTTTCTACAAAAAACCTTAATACATTTTTGCTCTAAAATAATTTGGGGAACCAATAATCGCATGTTATGAATTTTACATTGAAATCCCTATGATGCGTTACGCAAGTCACCATCCTGTATAATACAGAAATCCGATATACTTACACACGAGGTTCAAGAAAGTACCTATATGATTTTTTGACAGACTCATTAAGCACACAAAATGTTAACTAATTATTATCAACAAAAAAGGATCTGAAAAATCAGTCACATTACAACACTCTACCTTGAAGGTCTCGATTCAATTTTTAAAACTTGGTTTTGAATTATAGTCGATTCATGGTGAATTGTCGAGAAAATCGAAAGATCATAAAATGTTCTACAACCTTGATTCTATACTTGTTTTTTTCCAAAAAACGCATCGTTTTCCAGCTCTTGAAAGTGAGTTCGACGAAGTACGTCAGTTTTTTTGCAAATTGCTCACCTTCAAGAGCCCGTATCTGGAAAACGACGCGTTTTTTTAACAAACTGTCTAGAAACAAAGTAGAACATTTAATGAACTTTCTATTTTGACAAGATATTTTTCTCGACGACCCACAATTTTCGATATAGCCGAAAAACTGTATCTTCAACCCCCTCCCCTTCCACCGGCGGCACCGAAATCAATCGGGACACAATCATTAGAGAACTTTCTACCACACTTTCCCGAAAAAAATTGGAACCATACGAATTACTTTTACTATATTTCCTATGAATGACTGGACTATTAAAAAAGTAAAAGGAATCTTACTAATTTGAAAGTATCGTCCGTAGAAATGTTTTTAATGGCGAAATCGGTTTGTTACAGACTCAAAGTGAAACAGTGTCCACCCAGTAGGCGGCCCATGGCTTCATCTACATACCCAGCGGATCAAAAGCTTGGCAAGGTGAGTTTCAAGCTAATATTAAAATAAAATATTCACGAGAGTAAATGTTTGAAACAAAAATTTGTTACTGCGTTTGAAATAATATTGTTCTGTTAACGATCATAATTTGAGTCATAGTTGCAAAAAGTAGTATTTCAACCCGTTCGTGTACGTTAATTCTTTAAGGGGCGTTTACAAAAGTTGAGGTAAATTTTTTTTCATATTATAAATGATAATGCTAATGAATATTTTAAAAGGTTCCTCGAAAATTGTCAAAAAAACTCCAGTAACCTGTGTTTTAAATTTGCAACTACAAGCGTTTTTTTTCTTTAAATAATTATGTTGAAATTAGGATGTTCACTTAATTGACGTGCGCAATTTCCGCGTGTTCTACTGGAAAACGCCAAAACAAACTTCCGCGAAATTGGAGAAGCTTGTGTTTTAAAATAAGGTCCTTCTTGTAGTCACAAGCAACTGACTGAAGAAACTGAGGTGCTGGGTATATGCACACTTCAGGAATTGTTTATATTTCGGATTCAAACAATTAATAACCTTTATTATAGCAAAAATGATTTTTCAACAAGCGCCTAACGATGAACAAAACTAACTAACTTACATCTAATAGGAACTACCCTTTTAAGCATCTGTGTCGCCGTGAAGGGTTACGTTTCTGATATCTCACAGCGCAACCCATACTTATAATGGGTAGCACATGTGCGTGTCGAATAATTGATGTGAAAAGGACCGGTCACTTTCAGTCCTGTACAAAAGGGATAATTTAAGCGGAACTCAGTTTCACTTTTTAGAAAGCGAAAGTAAAAGTTCTTCGCTACAAAACCTTTTTAATGAAAAATTCAACGATTCTTACGAAGAAACGCTTGGACCAATCAGTCACAAATTCGAAAATCAAATTTCTCGAATTTCGAAGAGGTTCCATTCGATTCATTATTTTTTATAAGTCTAAGCTTACCGGTCAAACACGTCACACAAATTAGGAAAAGAGGAACTTTCGTTAAAAAGGAGTTTCATCAGAAAATGTTTGTTGTTGGTGAAATTAGTAATTAGTTTCTTTAGTTACGGAGAGATGCTTTTTATTAGAAAAATGCCTCATGTTGCAATGTGAATCAAAATTGAAATTTCTGACAAAAATGTGTTTGGTGACAATGGGTTGGTTTCAGTTATTTCCGCATTTGTCAGAAAACGCCTCAAAAATATCCCTGCGTTGTCATTGGTATTGTGAATAACAACAAAATAATTTGCTAATAAAAAAAATATGCGTGGGTACAAATCAGTTCCAAGTTTTTGAGTGACAATTACTTAAATTAAATCCGAAATTTATATTGTGTATTCATAATTTGTTTAAATAATTAATCAATTGTTCGAACAACGTGGATATAAATGTTAATATTTAATTTGAACCGTAAAGCTCACGTGTCAAAAGCTTAATTTAGAATGGGTGTACTAGCTTGATCTTAAGCTAGCACTTCCTCAAGTGGGAGTGCGCCAACGTGAATTTAGAAAACAATAGAGTCCAGTATTATAAAGCATACTAACTCTGTTGTCATCAGCTAACAATGTTGTTAAGGCATGTGATTATCAACATTATTAGCTGACAAACATAGTTAAATATGCTTTATAACACCGGCCGTTAATGTATAACAGTTATTGTTTTATCTAATAAAAAATACTTTGTTTCAGGAAGATGAACGCCAGCTTCCGGTAAGTGTTTTCTGCTTTCCTATGCATGGGTAATTTTTTGGTAAATGTAATAGTGAAAAGTGGCAAGTGAAAGTGAAGGAACATTTAGGTATTATTTACAGTGCTAGATGAGATGTAACGACATCACCAAACCACTCCACTTAGTATCGAAACAGTAAAAGTATGGTACATTTTCCTATATAGACAAACTGGGTTTACGAACTGTGTATTCATTCTGATTACGCTAAGTAGACTGTTTTGGATGATTAGTTATATGTCATATAGTAAAAGAAGGTAAGTGATATTTTTTATAAGATTGGGTAGTGGCGATAGGTGCAAGTATGCTTGTTTTAGCTGAGGTTGGTATGATAGTGACTAAAGTAACAAAGAGTGCGTGTTTACTAATTCTTCGTTACTCTATTCTGGAATGACTCAAAAGAAATTTCCTTTACTAACATTAAACAAAACTTGGGAAACGAAAAATCGCTTAAAATTTTGCCTTAAAAATATTTCTGTCTAGATTTCCGGCATGGCAGCAGACATCGGGCCTAAATTGAAGAGTGGTGATGGTCGGTTCAGATCCAGTGACACCGCTTCTTCACCGGACTTCGTAATTATTCCAAGAACAAAGGCAAGTATATTATTCAAAATTAATACATTCTGAAACGGTGTTTCTGTTTAGTTCAGTGGGGCGGATGTCATCGGAAAAAGGACGTAAATGGGACCGGCGGAGCTTGGTGGTGTCACTGGTGGGGCGTTTAAACAAAAAAAAACAAGTATGTTATAAATAATTGTAAATTTGTTGCTTTGAATATTTAAAACTCAACCTTTGACTGCCTTCCCATTTAATAGTGAAAGGGAGGGTGTTCGCAGATCTAACAAGGCGATCTTGTTTGTTACAGATGCACGCGAATGAGTCTGCACCCGTTGAGCGGTCCATGGTTTCATTCTACTCTTCGATCCCATAAAAAGCTTGGCATGGTGAGTTTTTAGTTTTCTAAACGTTATTACGTTAAACTGTGCACGAATTTTTAAGATAGTATTATTGAAGTTAGAGGTGAATTTATCCGAACAGAATAATAAAAAAAAATAGTACAAAATCTAGCAATTTTTTTCAAAATGCATCGATTTGTATCAAAATTTGGAATTAAGCTCAACTTACCCTCTGCTTCAAAATATATATGATACCGATGGGCGCAGGGCGTTCTTAATTTTTAGAAGTTAAGACTAGTCCTTTTCGTCAAAACCTATTAAACTATACAGGATGTTTCACGCAAACCATTACCTAAAAGTATTCAGGCTCTCATTGATATATTAACTCTGAAAATTTGCCTACGAACATAGTTTTTCATGATCTATCGATTTGAGCGAATGTAGATAGCAACTTTTTTTTATTTTGAATAGAACACCTTGTATTTTATCACATTTTCAAAATCTACATCGTTTGATACCACATTCCCCTATATCTAGTATCAACGATTTTCAAGTTATTCAAGATTTTCAAACTTTGTGACGTTTGACTGCTTTTCTTTAGGGTCATGTACCTATGACTTCATTGACTAGAATTTTAAAAAGTGTATAATACTGACTTGATACTAAATGAGAATGATTTAGATTTTGATCGCCCTTGTACAGGATGTTTGAAAACTAATGGTCAATAACTTTAAACCTTATTAATACAGTGATTTTATTGCAACTGTATTGTAATTGTATTTACTCTAGCGGCCGGTTGCAGGAAAGCGAATTTTAATCAAAATCCTAGATTATTTGCCAAATCTGAGTTTAAACAAGAATTTTGACATTTGATTGGCTGCATACTGCAGTATAAAGCCAATCAAATGTCTTAATACCGGATTAAACAATAATCCTGGATTATTTTTTTTGTGCAACTGGCCGTAGAGGTCATTATTGAACCTAGTCGATATTTTGTAAGTGTGATAAGTTAATGTTTATCACTGCCATGTATAACAGCTGTAGTTGTTGATCTGGTATACAACACTATTAAAAAAAAAATTAATTTTGTCAAATGGGAATCGACTAATTCTACGGCCATATGTTTCATAAAAAGTTTTCCAACTTTGCCCTGACCAACTTCCATTTCTCATTAGTTTCGTGGGTTTTCTCTATCCGTTCAAGAAAAGTGTTGTTCTCTTTCGCTTGCGTATCATGAAAGAAACAAAAAATCACAGTATTGCCTATGGCAAACGTATAATTGCTGGAGAACCTGAAAAAAGTAGTTACGGTTCTTGTTTAGCTCCTTTTTTTGTTTCTTGTCAGGAATTTGACACATCTGTCAGGAATTTCTTCTGGGGGCTACAAAAATGCCATGCGTTCCAATAAATCCATCTGGAGAGGCAACTAATATGAATTTTCTAGGGACACAACCAACCACTAACTTCATTTCCATGAAGGATTTGGTAGCATTTTTATATCTTTAGGATATCAAATGGACTGGAGTGAAGAGTGAGGATTGCAAAGGTTTCTGTCAGGGGATTTCTTCTTTGGAACTGCCATTCAAGATTATAAGATTGTCCAACAATTGACTTCTCTATGTCTTCTCTCTTTTCCCCGGCTCACTTGATGTTTTTGCACAAGGTTTCCGACCGCAAGATATAATTCTGCCTGGGACATGGTTTCCTTCAGACAAAGTGTTGGGTATCCATTTTCTCGGGGTGCTCAAAATGGGGTAAAACGATCAGCCCGAACAAAGGTCAAAAAACCTTCCACATAAAATTTGAATTTATTAAACAAAGATTGATCCCCAATAATAGTAGCACATTCTGCCGAGGTGTAGCTATGCCCATGTGTCCTTTTGGCTCAAGAACCATTATAAACTACTTTGATGAATGGAAATTCCTTTTCCTCAATTTCTATTATATCATTTTGTTCCTAAGTCAATTATTTCTCTTCAGCAATGTGCTTTTCAAAGTCGGCAGTCACCAAGTCCTCCAATTTCTTTCCAACTTTCTCCTCGACTTTTTGATATGTTTTCTTCTCAATTGTGGCCATGGTTTCTGCCAGAATGAAAGCGCCCTTTGGTATAATATAGGTTTTGATCCTTAGGATATTCCCTACCTACTGTCAAGGCAATCGATTCATTTTGGAAAAATTTCAGGGAGGAAAGCTTCGGTTTCGGTGCTATATGTGTTCATCAAAGTTTTCTTTTTGAACATGTTTACTTGATTAAAACTTACAAAAATACTTACAGCACTCAATTAGAAAAAATAAGTAGGGATCATAAAACTTGTGGATAAAGAGGATAATGCAAAACTTCCTTCTTTTGACAAAGTTAAATGAGGAGCGAATGATTAATTTTTATATAAATAGAACTTTTTATTCTCTTTTGAAAAATGGAAGATAACCTATATGATTAAACAATATAAATTAAATTAATTGTATTATTTATTAAAAATTATTAAGAATAATTAAGAGAGTTGGTATACAGGATGTTACATATAAGCAAGTAAAAAAATCCAAGGCCCAACGTGTTTCGTTTGAAAATCAACCCCATAAAAGTGGTGAAATTTGCATTTCTTCTTGAATTTTTTCTCAGCAACCATAAGAGTTACAAAGACTGGTGGCACGTCTTTGAACAGGTTTTTGGGGTATGTCCTTTCCGATTTTGCAATATATTTTCAAAATCCCTACTACGAAAGGACGCACCCCTAAGTGGGGGTGCGAAAAAAAATTCTGATATCCACGAAATTTGGTATCTGGAGTTTTTTAAACATGAAAATCACGATTCTGACATAAGTTTTTAATAATTCGAAAAAAAACAACGAAAATGGGGAGAATTCCACGAAATTTGTTGTATACATACTTGATGAGTTAAGGAACAAAATTGTCGAACAGTTTTTTTAAATAACTTTTCACACAAAAATTATATTCATGTGACTAAAGGTCCTTTGGGTCAGAAAGTGTACTCCACCTACGAGTGAGTCACCTAATTTTGCATGTAGTTAGTAGAAAATGTCGCAAATAACAAAAAATAACGATTCTGGTTACAAATAGCAACAGTAATAAGACTATATTCAATTAAAAACAATAAGTTTTACATTGCCCATTTATTCTTTAATTATTTGACGAGAATGTATAGATTTTTTTAGAATAAGGGAATTTTTAGTTTCAAATCCGATAATGTGCCAAAATAGGCAGTGGTCTAATTATGGCCTAGAACGATTTTATAGTGCTTTCTTTTGGAAAAAAGGCATCGATTGAGGTCTACGAGTATAAGCAAACCAATCCGATGTATGTTGTCTATACAGGGTGACAATTTGAAAACTTACCACCCCCCATATCTGAGTAAATAAACGAGATATTAAAAAAAATCAAAATCCGTTTCGGTAATTCGGAGGGGGAATCACAATGACATAGTTGGCGACGCACCCCCTCCAACCCCCTGCGCCCCAGCCACCCCAACTTTTAAATCTTAAATAGTGACCCCCCATGTGTGATACGTCGTTGGAAAGCTCTGGAAAAATGCTTTCCAACCATACCAAATAGCATTACATTTAGGTTAGTAATTATCGTGCAAATCAAAAAATAAACATGGAAAATCGTATTTAACTTGAACTTCCAAAGCCGACTCGATAGCAACTCATTTTTGATCGCCAGTTATAATCTATTTTCAAACTCTTGTCGAACCTTTTCAAATGTTGGTTTTGCAATATTTCGACATTCTTGAATTATTCTCTGTCTTAGTTCGTCTATGTTCGCCGGTTGCGTTTTAAATACGACAGATTTCAAATGTATCATATTAGTTTATTTTTTGATTTGCACGATAATTACTAACCTAAATGTAATGCTATTTGCTATGGTTGGAAAGCATTTTTTCAGAGCTTTCCAACGACGTATCACACATGGAGAGTCACTATTTAAGATTTAAAAGTTGGGGTGGCTAGGGCGCAGGGGGTGTGGGGGGGTGCGTCGCCAACTATATCATTGTGATTCCCCCTCCGAATTACCGAAACGGATTTTGATTTTTTTAAATATCTCGTTTATTTACTCAGATATGGGGGGTGGTAAGTTTTCAAATTGTCACCCTGTATAAAAATGAAAAAGGTTAATAAATTGTTCCCAAAATACGTCAGTTCCTTGAAGTTCGGCGTTAACACACATTTAGACCACTTCCTATTTTTGTGCAGTTATATATTAGTAATTGAGTGAGAGGTATAACAATGCTGTATGTAAAAATTACGTTGTTTCAAATGTTTTACTCATCATACACCTACATCCCTGTTTCATATGATGGACATTTTGATAAATGTAACGCAGCTTTGAAAAATGAATGTGCTAGTCATATTTGCTGTAAAATTAAACATATTTTATCTGAAACGGGCTGAATCAGAAATTTATTCTCAGCCGTTTCCAAATAATAATCGCGTCAGCTTGTCGATGGACACTCTGCATTTGTCACAAAGCACCTAGACCATTTTATAGGCAATAGTTGTTTCTTTCTCTAACGATCACTGTTTTTGTTTCAGGAGATAGATGAACGCCAGCTTGCGGTAAGTGATTTTTCATTTCTAAGCATGGGTGAAATAGTGAAAAGTGCACATAGTGAAGGAAACGGAAGCAATTACATTTAGAAATTTACTAGGTGAGATATAACGACACTTTCCAAGTCAATTAGCTTATTAAGAGGATCGAAGTAGTCGCGGTACTGCAAATCGTTTAACAAAGCCACTTGCCAATCAAGAAATCGGTTTCCTCGTACGAGCCGGTATAGCCATGAATTCATAGTTATACTTGTTTAGTGCGAAGTTGTCCCCTTTTTGCTACTTGATGTTCGATAAAATATAAGATAGCTGGCTTGGGTGTTTGATTGTATATCATATAGTAATTAGAAGAAGGTAAGTGATTTACTTTTAAATTACTTGGTATTTGGTTTGGTTGCTATGCTTGTATTGGCCTTCCTTATTAACATTATAACCAACCTGGTTAGTCACTAAACATTTGTCTTGAAAATATTGTGTGGTACTCTAGCGTCATCAAGAAATGCACTTATGTTGATCCACCTGTACCACTCGCTAGTATCTCATTCTTCAGTAGATCTTCGTTTTATTTTAACCAGGAAAGTATATTGGTCTAAACTACTAAACAGAAAAGTAACATTTATTTCTTTGTATAGTTCAATGATCCAGTAGCAGCCATTATCGGGTAATATTCGTTCGTCTGCTTTTTGTCTACTACATCGTGAAATGCATCTGTATGGCTCATTCTTCAAGAGATCTTCAAAACTGCTATATTTTAAGTATTCTAATATATAAAATACCCTGTGTACTTAGCACATAATTCTAGTTTTGGTATGGTGGTCACAATTACTACCGGAAAGTGAGACCAAATGAAAACTTCTTATGTTCGTGTTCGTATATCCAGTGGGACCACTTAAGCTAGCGGGCGGTTTAATTTCTTCAACAAATAAGTGAGTAGGCTGCCTCTTGAATTTCAAAATAGATTTTAAGGCCGATGTTTTTATCTTACAGTTTTTTTTGTTAGTATGGCTATAACACTTTTGGTTGATGGATCCAAATGAAGACTGATGCTGTTCGTTGTACATCCAGTGGAACCGATCCCGGTTGGTTTTAGTTGCTTCGAAGAAAAAGTGAGTATATTCCTAACAAATTTAAAAATAGGTTTTAATAAAGTACCTTTGCGTATATCTGTACTATATGTCTGCGGTCTTTTGATATAGCAATAACATTGTTGGGATGATTTGTCTACTTTAACAATAGTACATTATATACCAAGGCAGAGAAGTACAGTATTATTGCCTGAGCACCAAGATTACATCTCGAGGCGCTTGCGCCGAGGGATGTAAGATGCGAAGGCAATAATACACTTCTCTACCGTGGTATATATACTATTTTTTTCACTACTAGCACTTGAAATCCTCTAAATTAACATATTATATTGATAAGAAAGTGAACGGTTGGACAGAATTTTTTGTTTCTTAATTTAACATGTCAATCAAGTACGTAGAAGTACAAGTCAAACAGGCCGTATTTTGTTCTGTCATTGAGATATTTTCAAAGAGTAATTTCGTTCGAATTTTTTCAAAATGTGATAATTTTAGGTATGTAATTTCTCTGGGAATGGCGGATGGTGGCAATTATTCATTTTAGAGAACTTGTCTAAACGTTTATTGAGAGAAATTTCGGGTTGTGTTTTATAAAAGTGACAGCGTGACAGTTCTCATTATTGACTACTAGTTAATAATGTCCACATTATTAACCACTTTGAACAAATGCCGAGAAAGCCTACTTTACAAGTGGAAAAAAGGTTAATAATCATGTCATCAGACGCTAGTAGTGAAAAAACAAAAAAAATGAGATAGTACTTTCAGATTATTTATTAATTTGCCTGTTTGAGTTTTCATTAATTTCGACGATTTCTCGGTAACTATAATCGATGGAATTTAAAAAGTAAAAACGTTTGTGTAAATAATGAAAATTCATCATTTGACCACTCATAACTAGCACAGGGTGAAATTTGCATGAAAATTGGCCCCTTCTGTAAAAAAATCTACTTATTTTGGATTTTTGACGAAACATCTATTTTGCTTAGTTTTAGGAGGTACACATTTTTGTTGGGCCACCTAATAGAATTTACAGTAAAACCGGCAATTTGAATTAAACAAAACACGTAACTGATAATAAAAACGGGCAAATGAATCGTTCTTCATTGGTCTACATTACGGTTTTGTTTTATTTATTCTCTTTTTCGATCAGACTTCTCAATCAAAAGTTATAAACTAGAAACCAATTTCGAAAGAAAATTCAAAGGGCTGTAACTTTGGAACTAGTAGCCCAATCTTGGAACTGTTTGAAATTGTGGATTCTACAGGCCACGTTCTATAAGAAATTTTTTTTTCTGGGTCGATCTGAGACAATTTTTTTTTTCGGGCCTCAGAAAAAGGCAGTGTATAACCTTCCTTTTTTTACCAAAAATCGACTGCACCAAAATTTCTCGGGAAAACACTTTTTCTTACGCTATTAATAAATTACTAACACGTTTCTCTCATTGGGGTTGATGTTAGGTTGTTCATTAAAAAATTCTGTTTTTATGTTTTACAATGAATTTATCATTTTTTCTCGTATTTTGAAAGTGCTGAAACACAATTATAGGCGACTCGCCTCCTTTGTATATTTTGTTACTTTTAATTATAAGTTGCATTTAAAAAAAAACTATATTCTAATTGATTTTCGAGAAAGGAATACTTTAAAATGAAGCAAAAAATGTTTTGTGGTGCACCGCAGAACCCCCCGCCCCAATCTTCATTACTTTAATGGCCCGTAACCTATGCAATTCCACCTGGCCCGTAAGTACCCAGTCCGCCCCTGTTTATCCAATACCAAGTACTTTAAACAATTTTGAAATAGTCAAAATTAGTGTTGAACAGTTTTTTCAAATAGAATCACAGTGGTTCGCCCGGGTATATGAAGCGCCCTGTATGTATCTTTCAAATGACTACACTGTAAATACTCATATGATCTACTGATTAGTAAAAGTCATTTTCTTTTTAATTTTTCCGTAATGTTAGCGTATGGGTTAACTAATTACTTTGTCGATCAACGTATAAATTATCGAAAACAACTTAATAGGTATAAAATTGTCTGTACAGGGTGGTTCAAATTTGTGGCGCACCATTAGGATCTCCGTAATGGTTAGAGAAACAATGTAGATAAAATGGAAGCAAAATTGCCCCTTGTTGTGACCAAAAAATACATTTGAAATTTTTTAAAAATCTTTGTAAATAACCGAAATATCACCAAAAAACTGAAAATGTCAAATTTCGTTTTCATCCTCCCTAGCTTTAAACTGTCAGAAATAGAGCACCTTCAATGGGCACTTTATTTCGGAGAAGCTGTATTTGTTGCATTTTCATAAGACAATAGTAGAAGCTAGCGGGTGCTATATTGGATTTTTACGGAATGAGTTAGAGGACAAAAAAGATACTTTTACATAAGTTTACAAAAAAAGTTTCAAAATCAAATGTTTTACAATAATTTCCCAATAAAACATCCACATCAACATCAACAACAACATGGCTATGATGGCGATGCATTCCAATGTATTGCTTTTTTTCTCATTTATCTCATTCCGCACAAATCCAATATGGCGTCGATATGAAATAAGCATCTAGTATTAGCCTGTAGCTTCTACATTTAGCGTGTTATGGAATTTCTGATAACAGATCTCCGAAAAAAAGTGCCGATGCACCAATATCACATTATTTGCGGTATTTGACAGTTTCCGTTTTTCGGTGATAATTTCAGTTAAAAATTGCCAATGCGTTTTTGGAGTCATAAAAAGGGGCACTTTGCCCCCATTTAGCCTACATTGTATCTCTCACCGTTACGGAGATCCCAATGGTGAACCACGAATTTGAACCACTCTGTACAATCTACGAATTATAAGAAGTATACTTCCTAGTTAAATTTTGAAATGTATGGTCACTTCCAGTTAAACCGGATATGATACCAACCACCTGAATTTTACACCCCTGTTCCCAATTCTACAAAAATTGTGAGTGAGCCTAGTTCGGTTTACACGCCTTTCTTATCAAGATTTTTTTTTTAATTTTTGCGATAACTCCTTGGTAATTTTTAGAAATTTTGCTTTCTGTATGGATTATTTGCCCGGTTACGACCAAGAAGGTCCCTAGTTCAAACTCGGGTTCGAGCTAGCAATTTTTTATGGAAATAGTGGGTCGAGTTGGTAGAGCAGTCTTTACTTAAAACTATGGGCGAATATTAAAAAAAGATTCTCAAGAACCCTAACACGGTTTAAATTTTTGTACTATTCATTCTTGAAGGATTCTTCAAACAACATTCATGTTTTTTCATAGACCCTTCGTCAATGGTTCTTCATAGTTCATGAAAGATTCTTCAGAAATTTTTTATCTCTTTTTTTATTATTAAATAATTATTAAATGTTTTCTACACAATGATTTGAAGCGATATTTATATTTGATCGTACAAACGGCCATAAAAATACTTCAAAAGTAAAACTTTGTAATAGTATATTAAGATACAAGTGTATAATCAAGTCTTTAAAGCACGCGCAACGAGTTTAAGGGCACGACGCAAAGCGGAGTGCTTTTAACGTTGCAAGTGCTTTAAAGACCAATTATACACGTGTATCTTATAGTATTTTTTATTATACCTGCAGTATAATTTAAAAATAGGAAATTCAATGAAATCATATTGACGTTACACTCGAATACATGTCTAATTAAGTGGGCTGGGTGTTCGTAATTTCACGATTGCCATGGAAATGTCACTTGACGTTTGCTTATAAAAATCCGTCTTTGTGAATTAAACGATTTCCGTTGAAAAAGATAATACACCGTCCATTAAATCGATTGTTGTAAAATCTAAACAAACGTTGATAGGTGTAAAATCCAACTCCAGTAAAGCCTATTATAAAGAATATGAAAAATTGTCTCCATGGATGAATAGGAAGTTACGAATACAGTCTTAAATGCATCCATAATGCTGGCATATATGAAGGAAATGTCAAAGATATTTAAATCTTCTATATTTTGGTGCATTCATTCAAAACTTTAAAGCAATGCTGCGATTAAAAAGTGGAACAGATTTGGAAGCATACCCTAAATTACGCGCGTTTGTGAAAGCTTCAACCAAAGGATAGGCACAAAAGCCAAAGAAATGTTCTGCATTTACAGAAAGCGACCTAAGAGGATTTTTTATTTCATCCAGATGACAGTTTCAAAAGTCATACTTGAAGTATCATTGCTTAGCAACTTTAAAGCACGTGTGTTTAAAAGGCCTTTTTTCGCACGCATTTGAGTGTTTAAAACGGAGATTGTGATTCAGGTATAATAAAAAAATTATTAAATAATTATTACGTGTTTTACTTCTGTAGTATCTTTATGGCCGTTTGTACAATACTCCAATATGGCCATCGCTTAAAATTATTGTGAGGAAATACATATGGTAAAGATTTTCACTACCATGGTTGCCATTTAAAATATTCTGTAGATATATATCAGATTAGAGATAAAGGTAGTTTCCAAAGATTATTCCGAAATTGTTTGCAGATTCTTGCAGACCTTTGCAAGTTTTGATATTTATGCATTCGTTCAGATTCGCCCGAAATCCACAGCAGCCCTTCAAAAATGTTTAATAAGATTCCTGTTTATTTGTATAAATTCTGATGTGGTTTCTCATGGATTTTCGGACAGTTTTCTGTAATATCTCCAAACAAGTTTAATGGAATCAATAAAGATTTTGCGAAAAACATTTATATTATTGTGTAAACTACGTCATGCGGACGTTTTCTTTCGAATCAGACCTATAACGATGGGCCGCCCTGTATAATGTGAATTTCAAATTATTTTATGTTAAATAATTTAGATTGAAGATAATCTTGATCGATCGTATCATTTGAATTCGAGATCAATGTTATTTTGTTGCCGAGATGTTTGATTTTGTTTAAATAGTTTTCAAATTTAATTTATGTGTTCAAAAGTTAGAGACATCATCTGAATATAATTGCGTGTTGTTTTGTCTCCGGAAGTTTTAGATTTAGACAACTCCTTTTAAGCGAAGTTGATAGATCTCATTCAAGATACAATTA